CTCCTCTCTCTCTCTCTCTCTCTCTCTCTCTCACTCACTCACTCACCCATTTTCCTCATAAAATATGAGCTGTAATTGAATAATGAACAACTATTTACCAAGCAAAAATTATTAGGAAGCGTATTTTAATTTGGATTAATAAAAAACACCAGTATTACCATTTAATTACCAGTATTCATTCACTTTCATAACCACATTTTTACAAATTAAATATAAACTGTAATTCAAGAAATAACCAGTTTTTATCAAGCACAAATAAGTTTGAAGCAACATTTATTTTGGCAAATTAAGCCATGTCCCAATTTTTTAAATTTAGAATCATTTAAAATCATTTTAAACCTTGCTTATACAAAATTAAAAATAATTTCAAACTCTGATCGCAGGGGCAGTCATACTACTGGTACTCTACATATTCCGCAAATACACCGTCAATCGGGTGGAGATCGAGAAGGGCTGCGAGGGGGTCGACACCAAAATTACGGGGAACTCCTGTTTCGGGAAACTACTCATAACCCTATGTATGCTATTATTCTCGTTTCACTGCGCGTCCGACGACTCGTACGTACAGTTTGCGGCCACTTATCTTCAGTACATACCGCTGGGGTTAACGGCCAGTATGTCCGCCCAAATTGTCTCATACATGGGACTGGTATTCACGGCCAGTCAAGCTGTGTCCGTATTGGTAGCCCTGCGGCTCCGACCCCAGTATATGCTAGGCTACCACTTTCTAATCATGTTAATTGGTATACTAATCATGTACTTTGGGAAGCACTCCCTACCCCTCATGTGGGCCGGTATTCTGATCATGGCATTCGGGATCGGAGCTGTATTTCCACTGATATTCAGTTTTATGTCCCAACAGATCGAGGTGTCGGACAAAATCGGAACGGTATTAAACTTTGCGTCCAAAATCCCGGGCCTATTCGTGCCCTCCATTATAGGCATGTTTATAGACACCCACCCGGAAGTGTTGTGTTATGTAATGGTGTTTGACTTAATAGTCTGCTGTGTATTGATTGTAGCCATACTGGTGCTGGTGCGCCGGCATAACAAAATTATGTCACCTTGATTATGAACATTTAATTGTATATACAGGTATATAAATAGAGTGGCATACTATTAGATTTATTCATAAAAATTCAGATTATTTTATATTTGTAAAATAAATATTTTTAAACGATACATGGTGTTTTATTTACAAAAATATTGTATGTATTTTATTGCAAGAATATTCTGTATTATTATTAATGTGTGTTATTAAGAATAAAATATTAAGTTTATTTGACTAAATATAGATTATAAAATTATAATGCTTACTTATTTAAATTTAATATAACATGAATAATATTTAAAATTATAATCTATTATGCTGAAATGAATTAATCTTTAAACAGTCCAGGGTTAAAATAGACTTTCTTAACAAACCCTTTAGTCCGACATTCAATGGCAGCTTTACAGACCCCGATCCCTTGTATTTGACTGCGCCTGTCGTCCACTTTTTGTGCCACTCTTATGGTCACCAAATCGTTGAGGTGTTCAGTGGCCGAGTAGTCCGCCAAACAGTGGGCCAACTCGTGCCCAAACCACGTGCCAGTTATTGGGTTACGTGGAGACACATAACCTGGGTAATTGTTTTTAATATCGAAATTTATGAATTACAGTATAATTTTAATGTGAATTTCTATTATATTGAAAAAAAGAGGTTTTAAGTTTATAATTGATTTGTATTATATACTAATAATAATGATATTTTTATTTCTTCATTTATTTTTCTTTAATTTTCTTTAATATTAATAAAAGTAGATGGCTAATTTGATATTTTGGGCATTATTTATACTTCGTGTTCATTATTATAAAAGAAATAGAAATATTTAAGAGTTTTTTTATACAAAATAAACATTTATATAACCTTATATGCATATAATAAATACTCTCTAATTATTTAGTTACAGTTTATATTTTTATATCACATTATCAAGTGTGTGTGTGTGTGTGTGTGTGTGTGTGTGTGTGTGTGAGTGAGTGAGTAAGAGAGAGATTTAATAATGTAACCAAAAATAACGGTGAATATATTTCAGTAAAAACGTGTACCTTTATTTCATTATTCACTTTTTAGTATCAATAACTTAAAATGAATGTTTAAAATAAAGACACAAGTTTTTATTGAAAATTTCAGAATATACCGGTCAGTATATAACAGTATAATATATATTCATAATATATAGTCGAGAATTTTCCAAACTAATATGAAACACTTATTTATTTAAATATCGCATATTATGGATAATTATTAAGTTACAGTCTATTTGTTATTAATATAATAATAGTATTTGTATGATATATTAAATTACCCTCAATAGTTGAATAATAGACAAACATATCACTCCACGTGGGTATTGACCCTCCGGTGGCATCCAAACCCCTCACAGAACTTTCACCCGGACTTCTACCTAAAGGTCTCAACACACCATGGTCAGTCTTATCTACAATTATCAACTATTATTTAATATAATTATAAACATAAATCAAATTAATTCATACATACGTCCCCTACAGGCGCTGACAAAGAACATCTTAGGCTTATTATAGAGCACCCGACAGTTATCGTTATTAAAATAACCCAAAATAGTATCCACGGGAACTACCTGTCCGTCCGACCCGTACACACCATCCTTACAACCGTGACTCATTATAATAACCGCCAGCGCGTCGTGGGCTGACAGGTCTGCCTTCCTATCCCTGAACCCCATCAACAACTCCTTCATCTGATCGCTGGTCTGATTGTCATACATATTGACATCAAAACCGAGTTGACTGAACACATCGGACAGTCGGTAGGCATCCGCTCGGGAGCCACTCCTAAACTTCATGCGGTCCACAAACCATTGGTTATTAATGATAATACAGAAACCCCTGACCCTTCGTGTCATGGGGTATACGTCTCCGTATTTATTGGACTTTATTTTACGGGCCTTTTGTACGGTTAATACGTTATTAGACTCCCAGCCCGTATTAATCAAATCAATGAGACGGGTCATCCACTCGGAGTTGGCGTACACTTCCCATAATATATTAGTTATTAGTCCCGAGTTTTCAATAATATGACTAAATGTCTGGATGTCTGTGCGATCGCTGGACTCGATGTTAGCAATGATTAGCAGTAATTCATTTTCACTGTCAGTTTGCGAGCGATTACTCTGTATCAGAAATAATGTATAACATTAACTTACTTTTTGTTTTTTCAATAATCCAGTTTACAAATAATTACCAATATTTCATTCAAATTAAATAATTTTTTGTCAATCAATAATTTTTTAAAACTAATAATAAATCCATGTAAAATATTAATATTTGCAGTCATTTTTATAATTTTTATATTTAGTAGTATGTACTGTGCTAAATATGCTATGCTATGTATTATATGAGATGCATTGCCATCCAATATATTATCACTAAGTTACTATTTTATCGGCCTTATCTCTCATTGTGTATTATATTTTATTTAGGTAGTACTATATTTTACTATATTGTATTGCAATATTTATTTTATGGTTTTCCGATAAAGTTTGGGTTAACTCCCGGCCCGTATAGATCAGGTCTATTAATCTGGGCATCCATTTAGAGTCGGAAAAATAGTCGCATAGTTCTTGTGTTAAGATACCCGGGTTATTGTCAATAGTCTTACCAAATGTTAAGATATCTGTCCGATCGCTGGACTCTATGTTAGCTATGATTAGCAGTAATTCATTTTCACTATCAGTTTCCGAGCTATTTCTCTGAATTAATATGTTTTTTATAAATTTTTGTTTTTATATTAAGTTTAAATTAATATTTAATTTTTCAAAAATGTACAGTATTTTATATTAATATTACTTACTAATAAATGAGCAAGCTCGTTCACGGTAGTTAAATGATTAACTAGCAATAATTGTTTTAAATTATTAGTAAATTGTTTTAACATATTAATATTGGCGTCCATTAGTTTTTTAAATTTATTATGTATATAAATCACTTTCTATTATATTTATCAGTGATTTAATGTTTCATAAATATTGTGAAACTTTATAACTATTCTGTTATTTATTATGAAAATGTCATTTCTATAGCAATAGATTATAAATATCTTACATTTTATTCAAATGCTATTAATTATTATTCTGTTGTAAGAATTTTAAATTTGTTTTAAAATTAATTTAGGTTTTTGATTAGTTTGAGTAAAGTTACATTTAAGTAGTTACACTTTATTAAGTCATACATTGCTTATTACAAAAGTGTCGGTATACAATAATTATTATGATATTATAATCGTAATTTAAGTAATATTATAAATTTATATATTTAAAATTTAGTGTTTTAAAGTTTATAATTATTGTTCATTTTTTGATACATCGAAAAATATTACCAAGTCTATTCTGGGTTTTAACTAATCCCGGGTTAAAATAGACTTTCTTAACAACTCTCAGTGTTTTACACTCAATAGCAGTTTTAATGATCCCGAGCCCCGGTATTTGACTGACCCGGTCATCAACTTTTTGTGACACCCTTATGGCCACTATATCGTTGAGGTGTTCAGTGGCCGAGTAGTCCGCCAAACAGTGGGCTAACTCATAGCCAAACCATGAACCGGTTATTGTGTTTCGCGGCGATAAATAACCTTGATCATGGTTGATTTTGGGATAAAATATAATATTTAATATTTTTATAATTTGATGTTATATTTTGTCTAAGTCATAAATAGTAATATATAATTAATAAACATTAGTTTTAAAATATACTTATAAAAATGGTGTTAGTTACATAATTATTCACGAAGCAAGTTACCAGGGATGCTCTGACTCAATTTAGAGTTATAGTGTGAGTTGCATTTCGTAATATTTTTTAAATAGGTGCATTGTTAGACTTTTGCTCAGGTTAAGGGGACGGTATGTCTCATTTCGCCCAATCGTGCTAATATTTTATGGAGGTGTTCCCGTGGGCCTCCCTAGACACCCCATAGGCCTAACTTAAAATACTCCCTCCTGTACCCCCTTCTGGGCATTATTGTCAAGTTACTAAACGTGAATATTACATGAACCAGTATTATAATATTTATAAATTACGAATACTAATTAAAATTTTATTTTAACCTTAACCAGATTATAAATTAATAAAGCAGTGTTGTATAAAATAGTAAAATTATTACCCTCAATAGTGGAATAGTATACAAATATATCACTCCACGTGGGAATGGTCTTGGTAACTGTTGTGGGGGACATAGCAACTCCACCCATGCAAATGGCAAAACACAAGCCAATGATACCCTCGATACAAGTATTTATAAGGTTTCGTTTTTTGGCTGACTCTAGGTAAACCAGCTCACAACCAGGGTCGTTTTCACCTAGATATAATAAGTACATTTAAGTGTATAATTCAACATGGTAATCTAAAAATTTACGCTTTACACTCACCGCCTCTACACGCGGTAACAAAAAACATTTTAGGTTTTCCAATAAGCGACATACAGTTATTATTATTAAAATATCGCAAAATAGTATCCACGGAAACTACCTGTCCATCCGTGCCGTACACACCATCCTCGCAGCCGTGACTCAATATAATAATCGCCAGCGCGTCGTGAGCTGACAGGTCTTCCCTCTTATCCCTGAACCCCATCAACAACTCCGTCATCTGATCGCTGGTCTGATTGTCATACATATGGACATCGAAACCGAGTTGACTGAACACATCGGACAGTCGGTGGGCGTCCGCTCGGGAACCGCTCCGGAATGTTAGCTCCGGGTCCGCAAACACCTGGTTATTTATGATAAATTATCATTGATAATGCAGAAACCCCTAACTTTCCTATGCATTGGGTATACGTCTCCACGTTTAGTAGACTTTATTTTGCGGGCCTTTCTAACAGTTAGTTTACTCGCGAACTCCCGGCCCGTAAATACCAGATCGTTGAGTCGGGTCATCCATTGAGTGGTTGAGTAGTGTTCACATAATTCATGGGTTAGTAATCCGGATGTTTCAATTGTGTGACCAAATTTTTTAATGTCTTTCCAATCCATGGACTCCATGTTAGCTATGATTACCAGTAATTCATTTTCAATCTCCATCCGATTTCTCTACAATAAAAAAATTAATACAATACACATGTGTAATATTAATACAATACAATAAAATTAATACAATATACAACACACTCATATTATGTATATTACCAGTATATTAGCGAGTTCATTTTTGGTAACTAATTTCTTATCAATCAACAATTGTTTTAAACTTTTCACAAATTGTCTTAACACTTTGACACTGTTGTGCATTTACAATTTAGTTATATAACATATTATGTTGTATTTATACATCACTATCAACTTATATGTTATTTCTAATAACTTATTAGGTTATGTCAAATTTTGTGACTAACCTCGTATTTGTAATTTCAATGTCATTTCTATCGCAATTTGGATTTTAATAAAAAATACTTGCATTATTAATAGCTTTTTTATGCATAATTTTTTATTTCTTTTTTATTTTATTAGGCTATCAATTTTATTTGCTAGATTTATATTAAGTTTTAAAACTTTTATGTAACTATTATTTAACCGTTATATTTACATTATTAACAATTATATAATTTCAAATATATTACATTTACTTATTATAAATATCAATTATGTTTATTCAGTATTAAAAGCTTTAATATTTATTTTATTAATTTAGTAATATTTTTAGGAAACCTCCTAAAAATAAGTTTTATGTAAATTAGTAACTGGTTAAAATAATTTTTGATTATAAATTAATTCAATAAAAAGTTATGAACAATTTTGTTTATGATTATTGTAATTTCCAAATATCTCCATGTATCAATAAATAAAGATACCTATATCTATTTATATAATTTTCAATAAAATAGCTTTTTAAATTATCTATTATTATTTAAATACGAGTAAAAAGTGAGCATCCTATCCTTGCTACTAATTCAACCATCAATTAATCCCGGATTAAAATAAACTTTTTTGACAAAACCTAAAGTTTTACACTCAATGGCCGACTTGAAGGCACCGACACCTGGTATTTGACTGATCCGGTGATCAACATATTGTGCTACTCTTATGGTCATCAAGTCGTTGAGGTGTTCAGTGGCCGAGTATTGCGCCAAACAGTGGGCCACCCCATAACCAAACCACGAACCAGTTATTGTATTACGTGGCGATGAATAACCTAGGTTATTGCGAATTACAATATCATTGTTTAACAATTATTTTAAAACATATCTCTAGAAATATTGATTAGTTGTGATAAATGAATTGGTATTGTAATTATTATTATTATTATTATTATTATTATTACCCTCAATAGTGGAATAATATACAAATATATCACTCCATGTGGGAATAATAGGCTCATATATAAATGAACTAGGTGGATCACTAGAATGTGATTCATAGCTCATACAACCACCACGAGTTATTCCAAAGCTAGGCCGGTTCAGTAGCTCTACACCCTGGTCCATTTCATCTAAAAATCATTATTTTGTTATATTTGTAATATATTAATGTTCATGCAGCTTAAAATATACATAATACTCACCGCCCCTGCATGCGGTTACAAACAACATTTTAGGCTTTCCAATAAGGGTTGCACAGGTTTTATTATTAAAGTGCAACAATATATTGCCGACGTAAACTACCTGTCCGTCCGACCCGTACACACCATCCTTACAGCCGTGACTCAATATAATAACCGCCAGCGCATCGTGGGCTGACAGGTCTGCCTTCCTATCCAAGAACCCTATCAATAGCTCCATCATCTGACCACTGGTCTGATTAGCAAACATATGGACATCGAAACCGAGTTGACTGAACACATCGGACAGTCGGTAGGCGTCCGCTCGGGAACCGCTCCGGAACTTTAGCATCGGGTCCGCAAACATCTGGTTATTAATGATAATACAGAATCCTCTGACCCTCCTACGCATAGGGTATACATCCTGGTGTTTATTACTCATTATTTTCCGTGCCTTTCGTACGGTTAGTTTACTCGTGAACTCCCGGCCCGTAAACACCAGATCCCTGAGTCGAGTCATCCATTGAGTGGTTGAGTAGTGTTCACATAATTCATGGGTTAGTAATCCGGATGTTTCGATAGAGTGACCAAATTTTTTAATGTCTTTCCAATCCTTTAATTCAATAATAGCTATCATTAGCAGTAATTTATTTTCATTGTCAGTTTCCGTGTGATAATTCTACAATAAATTAACTAGGGTAAATTATATTTATCTATAATGTTAATAATATACTTATTACAAGTTAGAATTACCTGGATATTTTCAACGTCATTCTCGCTAATTAATTTATTATTAATTAGCAATTGTTCAAAACTAGAAACAAATTGTGCAAATACATTAATACTGTTTCCCATTTATAAGTTAGTTATTTGAATTTGTATTTATAAATCACTTTCAATTAATAAGTTTGCAAGTTATGTAAAAATCTTGTGAAACTTTTAGAAAAGTTTTAATTTCAATGTCATTTCTATCGCAACAAGTTTGTGATACGCCAACATTAGCATTTTGTATTTTTCATACAGTATAAATAAATTACACTTATCTACAACTACTGTAAATAACTTATATTATATAATACTATGATAACATATTTCTGTGTATGTGTTTTGTTGTTAAATTATTGTAAATAGCAGAAATATATTTTCAATCTACAGATAGTTTTATTTTGAATAAACAATAACAGTAGGGTGGTAGATATTTATGAGATAATTATCCCAATATTTTAGTAGTTACAAAAATAAATATAAAACAACTCCACATACTTTTGTAAATATTTAAATTTATATTTAATTTTTAAATATTATAAATTTATACAGCACTAATTATACATTTATGTTTAAATTTTTCATTTTCCTGAATAATGAAAATATTTGCGAACTCTGTCCCAGATCCTAACAGTGCTCTCGGTTTTAATTTGTCCCGGATTAAAATAAACTTTCTTAACGTAGCCTAATGTTTTGCATTGAATGGCCGACTTGAAGACCAGGTTCCCCATTAGTCGACTGATTCTGCGGTCGACTTTTTCGGCCACTCTTATGGTCACCAAATCGTTGAGGTGTTCAGTGGCCGAGTAGTCCGCCAAACAGTGGGCCAACCCATAGCCAAACCACGAACCGGTAATTGTATTCCACGGCGATAAATAACCTAAGTATTTGAAAATATGTTTAAATATTTGTAACAAAGACAGCTATGTTATAACTTTTAATTAAATATCTAGTTTATACAATATATTAATTACCCTCTATAGTGGAGTAGTATACAAATATGTCACTCCACGTGGGAACGGCCCAATCCTTTGGGAACAAACTGTATTTGATCTGAGGGATAAGATCTGGATCTATACAAACACCTTGGTCCATTTCATCTAAAACAATAATCAATTTTCAAATTCATCAAGTTGATACTAAAAAATATATATACACTCACCACCCATACGAGCGGTTAGAAAAAACATTTTAGGCCTTCCGATAAGTGCCCTACAGTTGTCATTATTAAAATATCGCAAAATAGTCTCCACGGGAACTACCTGTCCGTCCGACCCAAACACACCATCCTTACAGCCGTGACTTAGTATAATAACCACCAGCGCGTCGTGGGCTGACAGGTCTGCCTTCCTATCCCTGAACCCCATCAACAACTCCGTCATCTGATCGCTGGTCTGATTGTCATACATATGGACATCGAAACCGAGTTGACTGAACACATCGGACAGTCGGTAGGCGTCCGCTCGGGAACCGCTCCGGAATGTTAGCTCCGGGTCCGCAAACACCTGGTTATTAATGATAATACAGAACCCCCTGACCTGCCGGTTAAACCGAGTTGACTGAACACATCGGACAGTCGGTAGGCGTCCGCTCGGGAACCGCTCCGGAATGTTAGCTCCGGGTCCGCAAACACCTGGTTATTAATGATAATACAGAACCCCCTGACCTGCCGGTGCATTGGGTATACATCTCCACGTTTAGTAGACTTTATTTTTCTTGCTTTTCGTACTGTTATCATGCGAGTAGACTCCCGTCCCGTAAATACCAGGTCTCTGAGTCGGGTCATCCATTGCGTATCCATTGGGTCATCCATTGGATCATCCATTGGGTCATTTATTGTGTATTCAAACAATTCATCTGTTATTAGTCCAGAGTTTTCGATAGTCTGACCAAATGTCTGGATTTCTGACCGATTCTTGGACTCAATGGTAGCAATGATTATCAATAATTCAGTTTCGCTCTCAGTTTCCGTTATATTTCTCTGAATTAATAAAATTAATTTTTTTATATTTAGAAAATTATTATTAAAATAATAATTACCTGCAAATCTGCGAGCTCATTTTTGGTAATTAAATTCTTATCAATTAGTATTTGTTTTAAACGAGCAGTGAATCGTGTAACCATTTTAATACAGTCACACATTTAGTAGTTATAAATAATTTTGTACTGTATTTATAAATCACTTTCAATTTTTAAGTTATGTCAAATATTTTATGAAACTTTGTTTGCATTTTTTTGAATTTATTAATTTCAATGCCATTTCTACCGTAACAAGCTTTATATAAAATGCTTAAATTATAAATTATTTTTTAATTCATAAATCAGTTTCTTTGAAATAAATCTTAATTCTTGAAACATAATTTTAAATTCTCAAGATCCTATTTTAAAATGATAAATTTTTATAACCATATTTGTTATCAATTGATAATCACAAAGTACTTTGGATTTATAAGGATAATTTATTTATTTTCTAAAAACCTCATTTTAAATATTTAATTAAATCATTTAATTATCCTTTTCATAAGTTTCTAAACTATTCAATTAAATTATTAATTAATAAATATTTTCCGAAATTAATTTTCAATAAATAAATTAGAAATCATTACTAAATAACTGTTTGACTACACGTCAACAATAAAACACATTTGAATTTTAAAATAATAAAATTAAAGTTAAAATGTTGCAACTAAACACTCATAATTTTATTACAAAAATAAACATGTTAACACTAATGCCCTCATCAATATTTACATCTGACCAAGTACAGTAATAAATGTTAATACATTATTAATTGCTTTATTTAATAAAAATTATACATAAAAATTAAACTTTCCTAATGATAACTTTATGAAATAAATTATAAACTTATCAAATTTAATCTAATTTTGATAAATGTTGTTTCCATGATCATTACAATAGTCTGAGACAATAGGATCAAGGACACGATAACACAACTTGTGGGGCATTCAATCAGTGCGGACGCAATTTGAAGTGGGAAGGGGTCAGATAATGATAGGGTAAACACAACTTCAAAATCATATTCAGGGGAAGGATTTAATTTAAATAAACTATATACATTTAATTCAAAATTAATTATAAGTTTCCAATTCAAGTGTGTTAATATTATAGCTACATAGTTGAATTTTTTAAATGTACACTGTAAAACTAGTTTATTAATTTTCTAATTAGAATTATAACCTCAAAATAAATCACATGCCACACCTTAATATATTAGTTAAATTAATTTTAATAAATGATCAGGGTCGTGTTATAGGTCAGTAACATGATCATCATTTAAACTTTGATGCAAGGGGAAAGTGGTTAATTTTGGGTACATACTCAGTGAATGACTCCATTGCCAATATAACAACAATTAATCTAATTAGTATTTTTTAATTATACTTTAAATTGATAGAAACTCAAAGAAATGCTACAAATGCCTCTTAAAGCACCATGGTTAAAAACTATACAATGATAGACTCTTAACAAATAAATTCGCTTTCAGTTAGTGACTCAAGAGTTTGTTAGAGACCTTATGTTTAACTGTTTTTAACAACATTTGTGGCATTAACTGAACGCCAATAAACTACAGGTCTATTCGTATTCAATGAATATTTAGTTTCAAAAATACTGTTTTTATCAAATTAATTGTCTAAAACATATTTAAAATTATTTGTTGTGTTTATATTTGCTATTAATATGCCATTAATAATAAAATTTAAAACAATTTTTAAAAGTGGTTTATTTATTATTTTAATTAATCTAAAAATTGTTTATTTCTATTATGCATTTTATAAGCATTTATATTAATAAATTTTTTTTAAAATTAATTCTAATAAATAATCATTAATAAATAGCTGTTTGATCACATGTCGACAACAAAACACATTTGCACTCATAAATTGTATATTTTAAAAATAAAGTATTTAATTAATCATTAATATAAATTATTATAATATAAATTTATTCCAATAAAACTGTATAGCATATTTAATAAGTTTTTATTTATTTTATTTGTTTTAAACTCTAAAAATAATGTTATTTTAATCGCTATAAGTAATTAATTAATAATATCACATTCATTATTGATATTATGCACAATTTAATAAATAACTTTTGATTAATTTTCTGTTTAATTTTTAATTTTTACCTTGCGACTTTTAATTAATTAATTAATAGTTTAAAACTTTAATAAAATTTATAAACACACAAAAATATTAATTTAAAAATACATATCATTAGTGTATTAATAATTAATAAATAAAAATATGCAATTCAAAGTATTTGACTTAAGGGGGTGTAACCACACAAATAACTTAAAGTCTTGAGTTAATACCTTTGCCCAACATTTTTGTTAGCTTCATTTTTTGTAAAAACGGATAAAATTGATTATTTGATCTACGATACCAATACTAGTCTCATAATAAGTTAGACCCGGGTTAAAATACACTTTCTTGACCACACCTAATGTTTTGCACTCAATGGCGGTCTTAATGATACCGATGTCTTGTATTTGACTGATACGGTGGTCAACCTCTTGGGCCACTTTTATAGTCATTAAATCATTGAGGTGTTCAGTGGCCGAGTATTGTGCCAAACAGTGGGCCAACTCGTAACCAAACCACGAACCGGTAGTTTTATTGCGCGGCGATACATAACCTAGGTGATCAATTTAAAAATAAACTCATGATTAGTATAATATTATAGTACGCATTATAGTGTTAGGAAATAACAATTATAGCTTGTTTGTCATAAATTATTCATATGAATTAAAATATTTTAATAACATTATACAAATTTATTATTAAGTACAGGAATTTTTGTTTTACTAAATTTGACAATTTAGTTGAGAGAGAGAGAGAGAGAGAGAGAGAGAGAGATAAATTGCTAGTTTATCTACTCATTTATTAATACAGATTAATAAATAATATTTATTCAATATTATAATAGTGTAAATTACGATAATTAATTACCTTGTATAGCTGAATAATACACAAACATATCACTCCACATGGGAACTCGTTCTCGGGGGCTATAATCCATTGCCTGTGGACCCTGAGCCACAAGCTCTACAAAAACACCCCGGTCCAGTGCACCTTAAATATGTGTGAATAATTATATAAGTTGATTTAATATTAATATTTAATGCTAGCAAGCTACATACCTCCCCGACAGGCGCTGATAAAAAACATCTTAGGCTTTCTGAACAGCACCGGACAGTTATTATTATTAAAATATCGCAAAATAGTATCCACGGGAACTACCTGTCCATCCGACCCGTGCACACCATCCTCACGGCCGTGACTCAGTATAATAACTACCAGCGCTTCATGAACTGACAGCTCTGTCTCCCTATTCCTGAACCCCATCAACAACTTCTTCATCTGATCGCTGGTCTGATTGTCATACATATGGACATCGAAACCGAGTTGACTGAACACATCGGACAGTCGGTAGGCGTCCGCACGCGAACCGCTCCGGAACGACAGCTTCGGGTCCGCAAACGACTGGTTATTAATGATAATACAGAAACCCCTGACCCTTCGTGTCATGGGGTATACGTCTCCCGATTTATACGATTTTAATTTCTGTGCCTTTTGTACGGTTAATACTTTATTAGACTCTCGGCTCGTATTAATTAAATCTCTGAGACGGGTCATCCATTTGGAGTTAAGGTACAGTCGGTCTAATTCATGGGTAATTAGTCCGGAGTTCTCAATAGTGAGACCAAATGTCTGAATGTCTGTCCGACCCCTGGACTCGATGTTAGCTATGATTATCAGTAATACATTTTCGCTGTCAGTTTCCGTACCATTGCTCTGAATTAACAAATTTATGGATTATTTAAATTAGCATACAGTATAGTACTGTAATTTATTTTTAATATTAATAAGGTTTCAAAATATTTACCAGTAAATGTTCTAGGCCATTCTCCGTAAATAGTTTGCTGTCAATCAATAATTGTTTTAAACTAGTAATAAATTCTTGTATAATATTAATATTTTCAGCCATTTGTTACTTCCATTCACATTACAATAGTACAGTACAATGAGTAATACATTATTTATCACTTATGATGAAAAACAATAAGATATTGCAGTGTCTCATAATATCATATACTATCTATATTATTTTTATTTACATTATTCGTAAGGGTATTATATAATATTTATCTGTTTTTTACGATATATTTATAAATTCCCATTCAATGACTCATTTAAAAACTTAAATAAAAAAATTACTTTTTATTTTAAATTTAATGATAGTTCAATTGGCATAAAAGTTACATGTTAACTCAACTGATGAAGCTACTTTTAAACTATTTTCACATAAAGTGCCAATAAGTGCCAATGTCAGTGAGTACTCTACTTAATTATCTAAACAATGACCAGGATTAAAGTAAAGCTTTTTAAGCCGCCCTTTATTAAGGGTTTCGAGTGCCTGTTTCACCACCTGGCTGTCCACCTTGCTTTCCCTATTGTGTAACTTTTGCGCCACTATTGTGGTCATCAAGTCGTTGAGGTGTTCAATGGCCGAGTATTGCGCCAAACAGTGGGCCAACTCGTAGCCAAACCACGAGCCCATCAACGGATTCCGTGGCGATACATAACCTGTGTTTTGAAATACAGTTAATTATCGATTAAAATTGTTATTAATTACTAAATTAATCAATTAATTGTCCATACCTAATATTATGGAGCTAACAATTATTTAAATAAAGCCTGATTTTAAATATACAGTAAGTTGTTAAAATATTTATTATCTAATGATACTGTATCTAAATATTTAGCTATTTTTTAATAGTTTGGTGGTTTGTATATTTATTATTTTAAACATACCTTCAACCGTGGAAAAGTAGACAAACATGTCACTCCATGTGGGTATTGACCTGGGTACATCAGCCACTGCTGGTTCACTTGCCGTTGCTCCCAATGATCTTAGACCTGGATCAATCGTGGCTATAATCAACATTATTTTTAGCATATTATACTGTAATAAATTAGCACGGTCACATTTTAACCACACACTTACCGCCCCTACAGGCGTTGATAAAAAACACTTTTGGCTTATCCACGAGTTTCGGACAATTCTCGTTATTAAACATCTCGAGTACGGCCTCAATGGGAACGGCTATCCTATCGGTGCCCTCCACTCCACTCTCGTTGCCATGGGATAGGATGATGACTACCAGTGCGTTGTGAGAGTACAGCTCATTATCATCGCTCAGCGCCTCCAATAAGTCCACCATTTCTTCGGCCGTTTTGTTCATCAAATGTCTGACCCGGAAGTGGAGTTCCCGGAACACGTGGGACAGCCTATAGGCGTCAGCCCGGGAGCCCTTCCTAAATATTTGCCGTAGACTTCCCGAATGGAAGAGCTGGTTATCAATGATAACACAGTATCCCCGGCACCGGGCGCTCATGGGGTACACGTCTGAGCCCGACTCCGGGTGTCGAGCCTTTCGGATGGTTAGTATGGGTTCGGACAGTGCCTTAGGTATGGATAGCATGTCTTGGAGTCTAACAAACCACAGGCTCTCCGACCACTTGTATCGCTTTTGGGACAGTAGGTCTGACACAACTGTCCCCTCTATGATAGAGCAAAATCTCTCGATGTCTGTCCGGTCCCTGGACTCCAAGTCCCCTATGATTAGGTTTAACTGGTTTTCTGTGTCATCCGCTTTGGTCTAAATTATAATAATATTTAGTATTAATGAATTAATCTTTAAGCATGATCAATTACCCATAATTGTGTTGCTTGGTGATCCTTTTCAAAAAATTTATGATGCTTTAATAGTATTTTTAGTTCAGCTAGTAATATGTCTAAATCCATTTTTAATTAGCGTGAACTCAAAGTATAAATACAGAGTATATAATATTATTATCACAATTAGATAACTACTGTAGTTTATAATAACATAATTATAAAACAGTGTATTTCCGTTTAACTTATAGAAAATAATTAGATTAACTTAAAATTATATATAATTATGGTTAAATACTGAACAATTTTAAATAATACTGATTGTAATTATTGTTTATGAAGTTATTTTCATTTATATATAATTAAAATATGTCGTTAAATATACAAAAATATCCAATAAATCACTTTTATATAACAGTATATTTCACATACTGTCATGACTACCACTGATTATGAAACTTTTTAAAAAGTTTGTTCATATAATAACTGTTATTACCGGTAATATCAATGGATAAAGTAATCTGAATTGATAATAAGTATAATAGTCACTAATACCGTTCATATAAAACATAACAAATATACAATTTATTTAATTAACAAAATCTTTATTAATAATAATTCGTTATAAAGATAATACAATTAATTGGAAGTCATTAGAGATCATAACAGTTAATGTTTGCATATATTGTGTAATTCGTTACAAACTTTTTTATATAACTTTTTTATATTTTGATCATTGAATACAAAATTTTATAAAGATAATACAATTAATTGGAAGTCATTAGAGATCATAACAGTTAATGTTTGCATATATTGTGTAATTCGTTACAAACTTTTTTATATAACTTTTTTATATTTTGATCATTGAATACAAAATAACATAAATTAACTCAAATTTCAATACAAAAAGTATAAACTCATTGAATGATTAGAAAACATAATAATTATCAAAATACTTGTAATAATTGCCGTTAGAAAACATGACTGAAATACAAGTCATAATTATAGGAACTATTGGACGGCATTCCTCACCCATTCAGGGGTCGGGCATTATATCGGTGAACACATAGCAGACCTCAACGGGCAGTAACTTCTGTTTGAAGACATCCCTGTCCTCTGTCTGAATACGAATACAGGGTATGTCCGGTTCAGTCAACTCAATGCCATAGCGTTGGCTATAAAAGCACTGAACGGTAAACAACTGGCCGTCCGGTGCCTCGTATAAGGGTTTAGAGGGCTTGAGATCAGACAAGCAGTCAATGGTATAGTATTGCCGATCACTGGACTCGTGGATCGTATACATCGACCGTCCCTTCAGTTTTGTATTGAGTTTGTCAATGACATCGACACTGAATTCAACGGTCTTGAGGTCGGACA